ATGTTTGCAGCTTGCAGAGATAGGTGCACTTTATCATGTTCTGAAGGCAAGAACAGTTCTCCTCTGTGCAGTCCCTTGGACAGTTGCAAGCAATTAATTGCATCACAGCCTTAAGGGCGGGTGGTGCATCTCCCCAGTCAATCACTAACTCCCCCTCTACTTCCTTCCATCCATTGCCAATTGGAGAAGGAATGTCTGAATTCCTTTCCATGCATCTCTTCCATATGGCACATTGATAGTTTGCTCTCTTGCAATGATTAGACAAAGAAGTGTCGCAGGGCGGAAGTTGCCAAGATTCAACCTCGCCTTTTTTTGCGCAGAACATGTTGAAGTGAAATTCATTAATGTTGTGAGTGGCCGTCCTCGCACTGTAAAGGTCACATGTCAATGCCTTTAAGTCTTGAAACAGTTCTGCTGAAACATCCCATGTCTGGCCTAGGGCTCGTAAGGTATTAATTTGTTGCTCAAGGTTCAGCAGCCGAAGAGCTGAAACCTTACCCCGGCCAGCAAAGCTGCTAACGGTGTTGCACCCTGTAAACGAGTGGAGACCAAGGAGGCAAGCACATTTGTCGAGACCAAGGGCATCTGCGGCTTTCTTAACCTCGACATACTCAGTGCGGGTCTTGGACCCAGTCTTGAAGTATAGTGCGCATGTTAACTGTGGTGTAAATGCCATTCCCAGAATGAAGACATCGGTGTCGGGTGACAAATGAAAAACTCAATATATTTTTTACCAATTGTCTAATTGTTACAAATGACCACTCAAAATGTTTAAGATGTTATTCCCTACACACTGCTATATGTTATATGCGCCAACTTCTCTGAAATAATTCCTAGGTTAGGTACATTTCATACCTTGTGCACACTGTTGAACATCATAGGGAAGCGTTTCCAAGATGCAGGGTTGAGGAACCTGTACATTGAATCTGGTGTCATAGCCGAAGGCTCTGTTGAAGGGGTTCTTGCTGGTAAGCGATACAATCGCGCAGTCAGGTTTCACAAATTGTTGTATGAGGCATTGCAGCGTCTTGCCTGGAAAGAGTTTGAGGCCTTTGAGGGAATGGAGGGTACAAATGAAGTGGCAGGCATATCAGATCCGATTGACATGTTTTCTCAGGATGTATGCCAGGGGTCTTTCACAGAAACCCTTCATAACCCTGTCTTTGTATCCTTGGTAAAGCGTTTCCAAAGCTATCAGGATCATCTTCGCCAACATGGAGGGGCCCTAGCGACATTTTGGATTTCATACCTGGACACCGTGGATGTCATGTTAAGCATCTTGCGTGCATCTAGAGAGGGTAATTGGAACTTACATCTTTCATCCATACATGCCATGATTCCATGGTGCTTTGACTATGATAATCACAACTATGCCAGGTATCTCAGCACGTACTACGCCGAGATGATGAATCTTCCACAAGAACACCCGGACGCCTTGGAGCACCTGAGAAATGGTGGATTTTCTGTGCAAATGGGAGCAGAAAATCTATTTGGAAGGATTCCTGTTGACCAGACCATCGAGGAGACGGTGAACAAGGACACACAGACCCCAGGCGGCACAAAAGGTTTCAGTCTCAAGCCCAATGCAGTCCACAGACGCTACCTTACGGCTGAGTACAGGAGTTTGTTCCTGAGGCTATTGCGAGCTACACTTGGAAGTGAGAGATCGTTCCATCACCCTGATCTTAGTACACCAAGAATCAAGAGGGATAAACAGGATGTTTGTGCGCTAGTTGAAATACTATCCCTGCAAACTCGGCCTGCATCATTGATGGTATGGCCATGGTTCAGAAGCTGCTGGCCAATACAAGCAATGCTTCTTTTGGAGAAGCCTCAAAAACTATCCTCTCTGCGGTCCTCAGGGAGGGAAAGGTCAACCGCCGAATCGATGTTGTATTTGACGTGTACCGACAGAACTCTATTAAGAACGCTGAGCGTCTAAATAGAGGGTCTAAGAGTGCTATGACATTTGGTAACATTGCATGTGGCCATAGGATGAAACAGTGGAAGAGCTTCTTACAGAGCGGTAACAACAAATCACAACTCATTGACTTCTTGGTGAATGACTGGAGGCATGAGAATCTCGACAGACTGGATGGCAAGGAGCTGTTTGTTACCCATGGAGACCGATGCACCAGACTTACAAAGAACTCCATCTCTGATGTTGAAGATCTGTCAAGCAGCCAAGAAGAAGCAGATACCAGACTACTTCTCCATGCCAAGCACTGTGCTGCATCTGGTCTAGCAGCTGCTGTGATTGTGTCACCCGACACCGATGTCTTCATTCTGGGAATGGCATTTACACCACAGTTAACATGCGCACTATACTTCAAGACTGGGTCCAAGACCCGCACTGAGTATGTCGAGGTTAAGAAAGCCGCAGATGCCCTTGGTCTCGACAAATGTGCTTGCCTCCTTGGTCTCCACACGTTTACAGGGTGCAACACCGTTAGCAGCTTTGCTGGCCGGGGTAAGGTTTCAGCTCTTCGGCTGCTGAACCCTGAGCGACACATTAATACCATACGAGCCCTAGGCCAGTCATGGGATGTTTCAGCAGAACTGTTCCAAGACTTAGAGGCACTGACATGTGACCTTTACAGTGCGAGGACGGCCACTCACAACATTAATGAATTTCACTTCAACATGTTCTGCGCAAAATGTGAGGTTGAATCTTGGCAACTTCCGCCCTGCGACACTTCTTTGCTTAATCATTGCAAGAGAGCAAACTATCAATGTGCCATATGGAAGAGATGCATGGAAAGGAATTCAGACATTCCTTCTCCAATTGGCCATGGATGGAAGGAAGTAGATGGGGAGTTAGTGATTGACTGGGGAGATGCACCACCCGCCCTTGAGGCTGTGATGCAATTAATTGCTTGCAACTGTCCAAGGGACTGCACAGAAGAGAGCTGTTCTTGCCTTCAGAACAAGATGAAGTGCACCTATCTCTGCAAGCTGCAAACATGCAGTAACCAGCAGAGGAGGAGGAGGTAGATGACATGACTGAATTGGAAGCATATGATGATGATGATGATAATAATGCCAGTGCGTCCGATGTAGAGTAGAGTAGTAGTATAGTGCAAAGGTTTCATTTCTTTTACATTTTTCCCCTTGGTACAGGCTGTGTGCGTTCAGAACATTGGTAGGCCTACCATGCAAAGTGTTGAAAGTGAAATATTGACCCCAGAGACTTTTAAAGGGGCATATAATGTAGTGGCATATCTTTTGACAACCACCTTGGCCCTGAACCTGATTTAAGCCTACATCTATGTAGCTCACCTACTTTTACCTACATTTTATAGCAGGTATTTACATCTATTTTAAACTATATGTAATTAGCGATGATCATTATATTGTACATGTACGTTTTAGGTCTAAAGTCTTTTAAAAACATGTAAAAACAAGGTTTTACTGGTTAGCGGTATGGCGATGACCTTGGCCTTAACCACAGATGACCTTGGTATGCCAAACTTCTATTAACTTGATAGAAACTTATCTTCATGTAGTATTTGACATTAGTATTGGTAATATGTCAAATAATCGCAACAAATTACGAGCATATTGACATCTTACATGTTGTGCAATTTTCGGCCCAAAAAATTGCCGTTTTTGAAATGTATCAAACTACGTTTCATACTGTAGCTCAGAAATAAATAAAGTTCACATTTTCAGGCATAAACATGACTTGGACATCTTTTATCTACCATTTGAACCCAATTTAGTTGAGAGAATCCAATTGGTGTGGTAACTGTGGTTGTTTTTTGGGCACATGGTCCGATTTTAAGCAGGGGTCAAATTTCTTGACCTTTTGACCTCTGGTGACCGACATGAATAGCATATCAGCATATAACATATAGCAGTGTGTAGAGAATAACATCTTAAACATTTTGAGTGGTCATTTGTAACAATTGAACAATTAGTAAAAAATATATTGAGTTTTTCATTTCCCCTACCCCTAGATTTTGGGTCCGACGTCTGACGCGGTCATCCACATTAAAGAGATCATTACTACCACTAAGCTGTGGATGCTGGGCGGGGCTCACGTTTTTTTTTCATCTATGGATATAGGCCTATCAAAAAAACATGGTGAGAATTTGCCACCCCAGGTGGTACCAATCCATGAAATTTTGGGGTCTGGCTCATGGACTATGTATGATACAGGCGGTTCCGGCGCGGCGGCGGCGGCGGTGGCGGGCCAATCAGCCAATCAGCGAGCGTACACAAACCCACAAACCCACAAACCAACACTCAAACACACGCCGGTAATAATGAATGTGTATGTGCATGCATGTGTATGTGCGTGTGTGTATGAATATGCGTACGCGTAGGCGTACCCGCACGCTTGGGCGCGTGAGTGCGTACGTGCGTGTGTGTGTGTGTGATGTGTGTATGTAAGATATAGAAACGGGAAAAGAGGGGGTAGGAGAAAGCGGAGACAGAGGCAAAACGCAAGCGAGAGGCGACCGCGACACAACAGACAGACATCACAAAACGCGGCAAAAACTTCGCACGAAATACAAGCCACACTCATCCTGTATGAGTCTACGAAACGCAGACGTAGTCACGTACGCTACATCATGGCGGTCCAAGCGGGCTACCGTACAACATAGGTGTACGGGTTAGAGCGAAAATGTGCTAGTGGAAACCATGTCCGCAGTTTCATACGCGCGTATGCTGGCCCTTCCTGGCCTTATGATACCTAATAGCAAAAGCCTCTTCATCAACGCTGGCTGTACAAACGCTAAGCCCTGACCGCCGCCATGTTCCGCAGGTGGTCAGCATTACCGGTGGAACGCCAGTGCCTTGCTGCTGACCGCGTTACTTGGCCGAGCACCACGCTGCGAATTGCCGGCAAACGTGTCGATAGATTTAAACAACAAATATCAAAGACAGACGTCGAGCGATCCGCTTACAAAGTCGTACGGAGGTAACAAATCATGTTTATTGTTCTATCCATATCCATTTCAATATGTATATGTATATATATATATATACTAGGCGCTGTCGCTGTGTAGTAGAACTACGTGACCAGTGGAATTTTAACTATTGACAAAAGGCCAGGAAGATTTGTTTTACGCACGATTATTCAGTGTATCTGACCATTGTCACTGCGTATTTCTATCTACGGTTGTTACATGGCATACGTCACAAAAATATACACATCGTATGCCACAAAATAGAATTACAAATGCACTGTATTAAAATCTCGATAGTATAATATTAATATAATAGTATATAATAGTAATATTGCGTATGTATATGCGTCTTTAATAGAAATTACAATGCCATCGTCTACAATTCGTCTTATAATAGTGTAAATAGCTCGGATTGGAAATATTGCATTGGTAATATTGCAACCTTTGGTATATGCCACCTTACAAGCTTCAAAGTGGTTACAAAATCTGGTCGCAACCAGTGGTCAGTCGTAACCAGTGGTCCAGTCGCAAAGAGTGGTCATTACCATCAGACAATATATATAACTAATAATTATTGCATAAGAATAAGATCATACTAATCGAGGTTTCTGCGATATGTCACAAGAAGTATATAGAAACCTATTGCGAGTAGAATAATGCAAATTCCGAAAGTATCTAAACACGAAATAATGATCGCACAAGCGCTGCGCGTAATCAGAATAAAAACAACTCTTCTAGCGTCTCGCTTTGCTCCCGAACACGCACCAACCGATAAAGAAACAGGTGAAAAACGCGACAAACATCAGCCTATCGAAGACTCTCGCCACCAGCTTCCACTCTCTCTGTATCGCGTCCAACGCCTCCTTCTCGTCGCTACCGGAATCGGAAGTCGCGACGGTGGCGTCCTCCGGCGACGACAGCTGCTGTTTATCGCCGGGTCGCTGCAGCACGCCGGTGGTGTCGACGAGGAGGACTCGTGCGAGGAGCTGTATGAAGACGAGGCGGGTCCAGGCGGGCATGGAGCGCGTGACGACGCGGTGGTGCAGAGCCAGCACGACGACGGACATGAGCAGCGACAGCACCAGCATGAAGAACGTCAGGTCGTACATGGCAACTGGAAGCAGACGAGAAATGCGAGCAACGAAAAAATCAGATGGACTATACGTATTTATATTCAGAACTGCTAAAATTAAAGTCAAGTTTTACCCCATCGTCTCACGACGTGACCAAGAACTGAGAAATTTACTTGGGATACTGGGAATGGACCCCCGTCCCTCGTTTCTCCACTCTCATAACCTCGTAACTCGGCCATCACAACAACAAGACATATACGGATCTCGTTCATTCTCCCGTTCGATTGCGTACACTAGACGTACCTATGATCGGGACGGCGTTAGAAAATCTCACGGGCATCATGGCGGTCATGTCCATGTTCAGAATCGCCAGCACGACGAGATTCAGCATGGCCATCGTGATTCTCTCGCGAGATTCGATACACAGGAAGAACGAGGCGAGCGCGATCGCCTCGATGGCGATGCACGGCAGCACGACGATCTTGACGTAGGGTGCCGAATGCCGCATCATGTCGACGATGAACTTGAGATCTTGAAACGGTTCGGGAAACGAACCGAACGTCACGCTCTGCATCTTCGTGTTGCAGCGCGTGATCTCCCACTCCTGGTGCGAGTACTGCGAGTAGAAGCAGTAGGTGACGTTGGACAGCGCGATCTCCCAGCCGTGGTGCGCCCACGAGCCGATAGTTAACACGCACCTCTGCGAGTCGAACGGAAAGTCGCTGAGGTCTACCGGACAATAGCTTCGAAACTCGACGGGTATGGCCCAGGACATCCTGCCGTTGTATCGAATTGTGATGAACATTTTGGTGGGAAAATGCTCAATGTTTGCATGTGCGCTGAAAACAAAGGGGGAAAATGGGAAGCGATGTAAAAGAAAACATTCCGTATTCAAGTATTTCACAAACATATCGGGAACTTTTTGGGAACGATGCATATGTATGATATTCGTTTTCACACATATAGGTAAATTGTGAATGTTGCGAAATAGAACACTACATTCCATTTGTAAGGAAACAGCTTTCAGTTTATTCAATATCAACTCTCTAATAATTACTTTTAATTCATCCCTGTGCATTGTCATAGCATAGTGAAATTTTAACAGGAAATGCCTTATTTCATTAGTTTAGTTTAGTTTAGTTTAGTTTATGGTTGATTAGGACTATTGGCTACAACAATTACTCACATAATAGAAGGATAGCGAAGGTACAAAGGAAGGGATTAACGCGCGTTTTTGAGTCTCCTCATTAATATAAGTTTACAATTTACAGTATAAATATAATACATACAATTACAATACAATATAACATAATACAATGCAATGCAATGCAATGCAGTACAATACAATACAATACAATACAATACAATACAATACAATACAATACAATACAATACAATACAATACAATACAATACAGTGCAATACAATACAATGCAATTAAATGCAACGCAACGAACAACACAACAAACACAACACAACACAACACAAACACGACAATACAATACAATGCAGTAAACTTTAACGACCTGGGGTGAGATTCATCAACGTTGCGTAAAGTCTATTGGGTACACAAAGTTTCTAGAGTACGTACGCAAAGCTCGTAGGTGCGCTCGTAGGTGCGATTCATCAACGCAGCGTAGCACGCTGCGTACGCAAATGTTGATAATTCAGTGTAAATCCCACTACGTCCATCGTAGCTGCTGGTTGTTGAGGGGCGTGTCTAGCAGAAACCAATCACACTGCGACACATATCATATCAACCAAACTGACGCTTCTCTTGTATGTAAACCATAATATTTATTGCTCTAGCTGTCTACAGGAGTGCTGGGGGTACTAGTTGATCCTAGTTGTCCTCATTTTCGTTTGTATGTTTGCGTTCAACACTCGATGGAAGCGGCGACACGTAGACGTGCGTGCGTGCGTGCGTGCGTGTGTACGTACACGTGCGTGCGGGCATGCGTGCGTGCGTGCATGAGTGTGCACGTATACGTGCGTGCGTGTGCACGTACATGTGCGTGCGTGCGTGCGTGCGTGAGTGCGTGCGTGCGTGCGTGCATGTGCACGTGTGTACACGTGCGTGCGTGTGCACGTAGGGGGCCTACACGGCTAACTACGAATTCGCTTATAACGAACACAATGCCAAGCTATGACAAAAGAAGCGTCAAAGGCGCCGCCTGTCTGTGTAGAGAGGTAATTATTTATTTATTTTTATTTGAGTAGTAATTTTATAATGTTTTCTCAATAAGATAATGAATGCTTCGGTATGCGGAAATTTCGATTGGTTTACGGCACCTCTTCAGCTCGTGTAAATTTACGCAAAGATTTACGTAAATTTTAGCTTGAGGAATCGCACCTAAAACGGCCTCGCTTGCGTACGCGAAATCGTACGCAAATTTACTAAATAGCTGCGTTGATAAATCGCAACTAAGCAACGTCGATTGCGTACACAAGATTTACGAAAAATATTTTGCGTACGCGTGTTGATGAATCTACCCCCCTGCTTCTTTGTAAATTTCCTAAATTTCTTTAAATTGAATATATACCCGTATTTTCAGCACATTCTATTGCAATTTTTGTATAGGCAAAATAACACACTTGTTATAAAGGTAAATGTCCGGTCTCCAAAGGGACTCAGAGGCTAGTCGGATACTGGTGATGTTCGAGTACTTAGTTGGATCCCATACCATGTGCTGATCTTGCCACACCTAAGCACACATAATAAGAGAGAATAAAAAATAAAGAAGATAAATAATAAAATTAATCTTTCATCCAATAGGAATGCCCAATTTAACCTTTTACCCAAACCGTTGTAACAGGTAACACACAAATTGAAAAATGCCAAAAAAAAATTATAAAGCTAGTTTAAGTTGGAACTACAACCTTGGGAGTGGTTTACTCTGAGCTGGCTTGAATGTTGAAAGTTGGCGTACTCACCATTCTAAACCAAACGCTCAGCGTCAATACCTCGCGCACCTCATCCTGAAAAGAAAATTTCTCGGATTAGTCTAAATTATCGCATCGCAGCGCCACCTCTTGGCGAATACTAGGATTTTTCTAAAATGCCACTAAAACTACAACAGACTTAGACAGATCGAAACTTTCAAACCCGAATAGGAACTTATAAGTTATTACATTCGCTAAATTAATACACAGCGCATATTGTTGCAAGTAAATATTATTCACCAGCAGTGATAAACAGAGTGGGTGCTCACAAAGTGATATTACATATGACAATGTAATATGTCACCAAGAAACTCGTGTTTGCGAGTCTGACTCCATTCACATTCATATTGTCCGAATTTAAAGTCGAACACGAAATGTTTGCATATATATACATAAATACATAAATACACACATACATATATATATAAAGAGAGAGATATTATATATCATTCGCTAATAGCACGTGGTGGTTACTGAATGAATAACTCACAAGTTCCTTGATGTTTCTGATGTACATCATCGTTCTGAGTGGCACGGCGTCACTGACGTTGATGACCGGCCTCAGCTGCTTGTCGTAGTCCTTGAGCAAGGCATCCTTCAATCGTTTCTCTACTTTCACATCGTTTCGTACATCTATTATTTAAGCCATGGCGTTTAAATAACTTAATTTATTAATTTCAGGGTCATTGTTAGGGTTAGGGTTAGGGTTAGGGATATAGTGGTTATGGTGATGATGATGATGATGATGATGATGATGATGTAGCTCTAGTACTATAGCCCGCTTACATTAACTGCCGCTGGCGGCAGTTAATGTAAGGGATATAGTGCCGGTTGTGGTGATGATGATGATGATGATGATGATGATGTAGCTCTAGTACTATAGCCCGCTTACATTAACTGCCGCTGGCGGCAGTTAATGTAAGCGGGCTATAGTACTAGAGCTAATGATGATGATGATGATGACTGAGCCAAGCCATATTACGTTATCGTATCTAAGTTAAGGAGCTCGCTAAGGAGCTAAGCTAACTCATGTTGCATTGGGTGAGAGAGGTCAAAGCCACATGTGTTCTGCTGGGCAGTTGACAGTGGGCAATTCGCCGTTGGCTACAGGCAATGTAATACTATCAGGAGTTAATGAAGACAAACGTCTTCATTAACTCCTGATACTATCTACATTTATTTGTGGGTGGCAACTGCCCCCCCCCCCACCTTCTTGGCCTCCATCCTGCTAGCTACGGCCCTGCAAACCTATTTAATGCAGAAGGTAAAGGTGATGTGCATCAAGCATTACCATGTTAAGCATAACATAAGAGTATTGCTGGTACTGTAGTACTAGTCCTACTGAGAAGTTGTATTTATTATTATTAACCATCATTTTATTATTGAAACGGTCCAAGTGCCTGTGCCGCTGGCGGCCAGTTAATGTAAGCGGGCTATAGTACGAGAGCTACTCTGCACTTACCATCCCGCTCGTCGTCATCGTCCGCTAGCTGGCTGTGACAAACGCGAAGCACGCAAAAGAGCGCCAGAAATGCAACGACGACGACGTGAACCGACCACATTATTACGGTTATACACTATAGAACATAACAGTCGCTAAACACTCGGTCGGCACTCTCACTCAGTAACTCAGTCACTCACTCGTGAATCGTATCAACCACTAGTGAGGTATAGAGACAAGAGGTAAGCTCTCGCTGAAAAATTAGCTGGTGGGCGGTTCCCCGTTGCCCCGACATCTGTAAACAGTTTTCGGGCTTGCCCGGGTGTTGGGTTAACCGCAGTTCAACACGGCGCAGTACGTGTCGGTGACACCACCCGCGCGTCCTGATAGCGGGCGCGCGCGTGTGATTGACGGCCGCCACACACGCACACGCTCGCACGCACGCACACATAAACACACATTTAGACCACTGGCAGCAAGATCAAGCCCGCACGTACAGCACACACGCGCGCCATTGACTATATATATACAACATATATGTATATATGTTGTATATATATGTTGTATACATATATATATGTTGTATATATATAGTCAATGGCGCGCGTGTGTGCTGTACGTGCGGGCTTGATCTTGCTGCCAGTGATTTAGACAGATATACACGATCGTACGTGCGCACACGCGCGTACGCATGCACATGCACACGCGCGCACATAAAACACCTCCCACACACACTCTTTCGATCTCGTTTACAAACGCGCACGCACGCACGCACGCACGCACGCACGCACGCACGCAGGCACGCACGCAAACACGCACGCAGGCAGGCACGCACGCACACATAAACACACATTTAGACAGACATACACGATCGTATGTGCGCACACGCGCGTACGCACGCACATACACACGCGCGCACATAAAACATCTTCCACACACACTCTCTCGATCTTGTTTACAAACGTGCACGCACGCACGTACGCACGCACGCACACATGCATGCAGGCACTCAGGCATGCACACATAAATACACATTTAGACAGACATACACGATCGTATGTGCGCACACGCGCGTACGCACGCACATACACACGCGCGCACATAAAATACCTCCCACACACTTTCTCTATCTCGTTTATAAGCGCGCACGCACGCACGCACGCACGCACGCACGCACGCACGCATTATATATAACTCTTCCACACGCTCCTTATTCCCCCTCCCCATCCTCCACGTGCTCCTTTTTATCCTCCACTGGCTCTATAAATAGCTCTTCTTAAACTAGTTTTTACTTTTCGCTTTCTAATTCGATGCTTAAAACTTGTATAATATAAACAAAATAACATTTCCCATGCAGATAAGAAGTATGTGCGGACATAGATCTGACTCTAGAGGATGTCATGTAACAGCATAAGGAATTTCGTAAGGCTGAGCTAGGGCACTGTGAACTTGAGGCGATAAAGTTCTTGCATATCACACTACCCGTGGATAAAACCTTTTAATTTTAAATAGATTCAAGTTGAAGTTATTCAAATAATGTGTTTTGTTGCAGATAGTGGGTATTTACGAACAGAGAGAGGGAGAATATGTGTGTGTAGAATATAGAGAAACGGCCGGGCACATTACGACTTATAGTCCAGTGGATAAGCACATAAAAATAGGCACATTGTGCAATTTTGGTTAGAATTGTGAAACTTTGCACACGCATAATACCAACTGATATAGTCCCAATTGAACAGCGCCTCCTGGCGGGTTAACGGGTATTTTGTTACACCACTCTTTGGATTTTGGCTATAATTTCAATAATACTCATCCAATTTATTCAAGAAATAGCTCAAAAGATTCGTAGATATCTATACTAATATTTGAGAAATAATTTATTGAGTGTGGTTATCTTTATGTGTTGTAATAAAATAAGGTTAAAACCAATGAAATGGTTAAAAAATGCAAATTTCCCTTCCACCGATATATCAGAAATTCTATGGGCTGCACGAGCATGCCATGTCAAAATGTTCCTTATTTAGTAGGCAAATTCATTATAGGCAAGACTGCAGTGACGATGATTTTTGACATATCGGTCATTTAATATGCATGTTTTCATTATTTTTAACCATTTCATTATTTCAACCTTATTTTATTACAATTTAAGGATAGCTACACTCAATAAATTGCTTCTAGAATATTAGTATAGATCTACAAATCATTTGAGCTATTTCTTGAATAAATTGGATGAGTATTCTTGAAATTATAGCCCAAACCCTAAGAGTGTTATAATGCAATACCCGTTAACACGCCAAGGGAGCGCTGTACGCCACCAGATGGCGCTGTTCATTTGGCACTATATCAGACATTTTTAAGGACCTCATGTAGTACGTGTGTGCAAAGTTTCACAATTCTAACCAAAAGTACACAATCCATGTGCTTATCCGCTAGACTATTAATAGAAATCCTATTCACTCACTCTTCTGCCTCTCTCTCTCTCTTTCTCTCTCTCTCTCTCTCTCTCTCTCTCTCTCTCTCTCGCTCTCTCGCTCTCCGCCCTCGTCTCTCTCTCTCTCCTCTCTCTCTCTCTTCTCTTCTCGCGTTGTGTCCTAGAGATTCTTACTATCTGAAGCTATTATATTCTATGTCAGCATGCATCGATCAGCAATAGAACAGCCTACAAGCACATACAAATTTCTAGGGCACAATTTATTGGTATAAGTCCAGAAATGCCGCTTACGTGCCGAGTATGGGTGCTAGTGACAGCTTTACTGTCTGTCTGCACCGTACCGAATCTCGTGATCTACTGTAACTACATAAACATTATAGCGCGCAACATGCGTTTATGCGTGCACGGCAGTGACAGCTGAGCGGGAGCAGGATATAAGGGCGCATAAATGATAATTATGCGTACTGGTACCGAATAGGCTTGAACCAGCGAGAGAACGGAGAAAATGAGAGAGAGAGAGAGAGAGAGAGAGAGAGAGAGAGAGAGAGAGAGAGAGAGCCAGAGAGTTGCTGAGCGAACTGCTTCATTCTCTAGCTTCCTGCCCGTGGTATGTATAAGTTATTTGTACAACGGTAAATAGTCGTACAACTATGATTGTTTTAATCTGGTACCATAAATCTAGCACAGCCCGTTCACCTTAATTACATTAATTAATTACACAGTGATGCCATTTTCAACCCACAGATGTCGCCGCAATAGGCCTATGTCCAGTGCTAGCGCAAGGCTTCCTTCTATTGGCTGCGCTATAATATATACATATATTATATGTCTCTAACTGTGCCAGAGGCTCAACTCCTATTGTCTGTAATATCTGAATAAAAAACTCGGACTTACTTCCGGTCAGTTTATGTCTTTGAATCTGCAGCAGAAAATGTTGGTTTCAGTGAGGCCCGCCGAGAAAACTGCAACAGCATATATGTATAGTGACGATTAATTGCGTCATGCAAAACCCAGAGATTTGATCAGAGGTTAATAATGACAAATTTGTCATTAGTAACCCCCGGGTTTATTTAGATACCTGTTTTCTCCCGAATCCAAAATGATCGGTATAAATGTCTAGCGAAAGCAATAACAAGTGCGGGAATTACGTTTCTTACGACCAAGATTCACCTTAACCCCCGCTACAGGACAGGTACAGGTACAGGTGCCTGTATCGGGAGTCAGTGGCTACACGGGTATAGAACTGCCTTGTACACGGATAATGCAGAACTCGTGCCGTGGAAGTTGGAACGCACGGGACCGCCTGATATAGAGTGTGCCCCTAGACAACGTGACTACGGGAGGAAATGAACTCGGGAGAATTCATTCGTCCTTCATACCAATGAGATAACGTTCAGGCGTATTGGGAGAAGTTTTTTCTGGCACGTAACCTATCCCCCATCGGTTGAAATACTCAGTCAGACTACATTTAGACTTACATCCGCATTGACTGACGGTAAGCAGCGTGAAAGCTTGTGTTACTACGCTTTCCACTTATATGCTACGCGCCGTCATTTAATAAACAAAATAATGAACGAATAACTGGACATATAAATAAATAAATAAATAAATAAATAAATTATAATAATAAATTAGACTGGTCCGTGCAAGCCTGACGGTCATGTGTCTAGTGTAGGACAGGTGGCTTCTCGCAAAGATCCGAAGGCGAGTATCTGTCTAATTTAACTGCGTGGGCGAATCGCAAAACATGCTGAGCCTTAAAAAACGACATTAAAACTTTATATAACTCATCTTCGTCAATTTTAAAAAAAGCAAACCAATTACAACCCAATGTGTACTTTAGAGCAAAAAACAAACAAATAAAACGTCTGCGCACGTACGCTAAAAACCTAGACCTACTTTGATCATTCTATCTCAGCCATGATTGGCCGATTTGCGCAGGTAATGCAGGTCGGGGGCCCGTTAGCTAGTCACAAATTTAGTCTTAAAATTTGTCTTCATGTTAACTATCTCTATATATTATCAGGAGTATATCAATATATTTGATAGACTATTGACTATAGACTATAGACTATTGATATATTATATATATTGGCAGAATACATATATATATAAATTATATATATATATATATATATATATATATATATATATTGGTTATTATGAAGACTATTGGCAGAAACATCGTAAAATTACAGTTTTTCAGACGCGGTGCATAGATGTCAAGCCTACGAGACAAAGTTCATATTTACGTTTACTAATTTTATTTCTGACAACTAAAAACAGGCTCCAGGCTTTGACAGGGCCACATAGTACATATACACAGTACCGTAATCAGTGGCGGATCCAGGATTTTGAGATAGGGGGGCGCATCCGCGTAGCCAGAATTTCATTTCAGGGGGTGCGGATTTTGTGATAGCGCCGGTGCGCACGCTTTGCGTGCCGAATAAGGGGGAACAAAAAATAGGGGGAAATTGAATCCGTCACTGGTAATAATCCGATGTGTACGTTTTTACCTTGAATCCGTCACTGGTAATAATCCGATGTGTACGTTTTTACCAATGCGGCCCAGCCCAAAGTCGGCTGTTGCCTCATATATATACGACTTCTATAAAACCGCAGTAACCTTGTGTTTGACTGCTAAGTTAGCAAGGGCTGCCAAGGGTTCCAGCGTATTCAACCGACAGCAAGGTACGTGATAGTTCACAAACCGTGACATTTACATCGACCATCTAACATGATGTGTCACCATGATTGTTCATGATAAGCTAAATCGTTCGCTAAATCATCTAATTTAGTAAAGGCTAATTCAATACAATAACGATGGTAACTGCACCGTTAACAATATAATTTTTTTAAAGTTACAATAATGTAAGGTAAGCAGTTAGTCTGCCCCTCGGTGCTGAAATGGATGCACCAGTATGTCACCATAAACAGTACAAGCTAGTGTAGTCGGTTAGTTCCTGCACGTCCTCTACGTAAATAACGTTAGCATGCTAGATCTGGCGAGGAAATGTCACGACACGAACGTACACCGACGGTTGCATCGGATAATTGAACTCAAAAAGCATAACAACTCTGGTAATTGACGCGTAATTTCTTGCTTAACGCTTGCATGCCATTACTCATGATGAAATGGCCATAATGCACTAATAATAGCAATCCTAATGCTCTATTAATAGCAATTCTAATGCGCTATTAATAGCCCTCTAACACACTGCGCGCCATACACTAATGTCTCCTTATATCCCAAATGTTTGCTTCCTTTCTGTTCGTTTCGATATTATCGCACCTTATTCCTCTATATTATGAACGAGACGTTTGTGTGCGTGTGGCGGACCACTCTCTTTCTAAACCACCCGCCAGGCTGCCATCACGCATGGCGTGGATGACAGGCGAATGCTCGCGATTGTTTCCGGTTCAAGAAATTTTTTATTTTCAACATCCGATTTCCGTCACTTTCGGTATACACGAAAAATATTGCCGCGATCAATCCACTAACAGGACGAGAATTGCCGAGGAACAGAAATGGAAACGCCAAACGTGCCACTGCTTATATACAATAATGTAATCCCAACAGTGTATAGATAAGAAAGATGTAACCCCACTCTGTTGGGTTGCTGTATCTAGCCACAGCATCGCACGTTCACTGGTAATTAGAGAGTCGATCCGCATGCACGTATGAATGAAGCAGTGGATGAAGCAGTGGATGAAGCAGTGGATGAAGCATGAATGAAGGATGCAAGAAGGAACCTACAGCGAGAGAAATTCACTAGACGTGTAATCTAAAAGTCATGGCAACTAATCGAAACGTGATCATTCTAGGTGCATGACTCAGTAGGGAGTGTCTATATTCAGGCCGGTACGGGAGATTACGGTACGCATATATTTGCTAATATATTGACTAATCGCGCGTCAATAAACTCAATATTCACAGAGAGTATAGCTAAGACATGTGTCTATAGGTATCTAGAATATATTATGCAAATGATCTCCCGTACCGGCTTGAATTCATATACTCTCTGTGAATATTGAGTTTATTGACGCACGTACGATTAGTCAATATAGCAAATATATGCGCGCGGAAGTGAATTACAGATGATTAAATTTCTAAAATTCTAGATACCTATAGACACATGTCTTAGCTATACTCTCTGTGAATATTGAGTTTATTGACGCACGATTAGTCAATATATTAGCAAATATATGCGTACCGTAATCTCCCGTACCGGCCTGAATATAGACACTCCCGACTCGGTATTAGGTATACGTGCATGCCACCTATGAGCTAGATGTCTGTTGCCGACACAATTACTCTCATACTACTATCAATAAAACATCATCGGCAGTGATGCATCACTAATAAATCACTTTGGGCGATATAACGCCATATGGTCAATACGGCGATGAATCTTTAATTCGCGGCAGCATCAAATGCGTTCCATTTATGATTGAGAGCGGTGTGGTCCAGCGGCGATGAACACCAAGACAAGGCGGTCCGACCGGAACATTGGGAATCCATAGTCCGTCCATACACGCTTTTAACCTAAACACACGACAGACTGACACTCTTGGCCTCGTATCACTCATATTCACGTGATCGCACGTGAATTAATTATATGAAGTCTACTGGTCTTTGATATACGAGTATTTTATCATTACGTTATATGTCGTTACTATAATCCCTGTCGAAGTTGCATTTTGTTTCCAAATTTAGAATACATGCTAATAAATTCAGAATAGTAAGTAATTCCCTGTCAGCCCCCCCCCCTTCCCACCCGCTTCTTGCAGCAGCTGCTGTCCTTGCCAACGAAATCCATTTATGATGTATATATTCGACATTAGCAAAATTTATTCGATTATAAAGTCGTACTGAAATGTTTGCGAAGAATGATAGCCAGGTTTATGCCAATCAATTTCGCTACACGCTAAGCGAGTAAAATGCAGGATTATCTTGAAATAGATACGGAAGTTCTGTTTATATTATTCACCAATCGAAAGAAAAATAATCAGTAAAAACGCCGTGAAACATGTATCATTCTTGATTTAATGTATATGGTGATGTTTTTTTTAATTCGAAATTATTTAAGTTTTACATGTTTAAAGCATTAATTTGAATTGGAGAATGTTTATTGTAATATGTTCTTGTGAGAGTGTGAGTAGAGTGCGGGCATTAACATGGTGTGTCGGTGTGTGCGTGCGTGCATGCATGGTGTGTCAGTGAGCGCGTGCGGGTGTGCACGCATTGTATATCAATGTGCGCGTGCGTGCGTGCGCACATGGTGTGGCGATGCGCTCATGCGTGCGTGTGCATTTTATGTCAATGCGCGTGTGCATGTGTGCGCGCATGATGTTTCGGTGCGAGCGTGCGGGCGTGCACATTGTATGACGAGCGTGCGTGCGTGCGTGCGTGCATACGTGCGTGCGCGCGTGCCAACCGCGCGCGTACAATTAATGATCAACGCGTTTGCAAGATAATGCTCTGGTGTGTGAAATTTCAACGTAACCAACTGGATGTACAAATGCAATACAAAGCGACCTATTTCAAATTTTTTCTCTGCATCCTGAGAACTGTGATCAAGACTGAATGGTTAAAAATGCAGTTTATCTAAATGAATTTACATCGTCTAATTAGTTATCTCTCGAATTACCTGTGTGCGTGCATGTGTGCGTGCGTAGATGCGTGTGTGGTGTGTGTAGCATATATAACGTGCATTAGTGTAGACCATAGAAATATATAGAGACACCCATATTACTTCTATATTATTTCTATATATAATACTATCTATATTACCTATACCTATATTATTTCTATGGTGTAGTGCTGTCAGACGTAACACAGACGTTATGCCGAGTTGGCGTGCCTGTGCCGGCAAATAGCCAACACACCGTATCGCGCGACGAAGCCTCGAGTATGCATGCGCCCAGCAGCAGAAAATAAGTGCAGCAGAAAATACGAGGGCGCATTTACAAACACAGGCAGTCGCACACACGGCCGGAATGCGGCGCCTGTGACAAGGGCCTCGGGCATTCTTGAATCGAATGGCCGCGTACAATACTCTGCCCCCACCCTCACCCCTCACCCTCACCCTCACCACCACCCCGCCCACCCCGTCCCGTGCCCGTAATGCAACGCATATTTCGTACTGGTGAGAATCCGTTCTCGCTGCTCAAACTGCGAAGGAGACACACCGAGCAACCACAATACATGACATGCACGTCAAAAGTTGCAGACAGAGAGAGAAGGGGCAGGGAAGAGACCGACAGAGAAAACGAGAGAGAGAGAGTGAAAGAGAGGGAGAGAGATATAATATAAAGGGATAGATAGAGAATGAGAGAGGGGGAGAGACAGAGAAAAGGCTAGAGAGCCAAAGATAGAGAAGGAGAGAGATGGGGAAAGGAAGGAAGGAGAAAGGGAAAGAGAAGGGGGTTCAAGGGAGATAATGAGAAAGAAATTACATACTGACTTAATTCTGGCGACGATCCAACAACCGAGCTGGAATAAATCAATACTAAACTACAGGCTAGAATCTATCTGTTGGTGAACGTACAAATCGACTGAGACTTTGGCAACTAAGATGACTCCAATCGCAGACGTCTGCAATTCTGTAATAAGTCACAATAATTACACGAATCAGTGCGGAATCACGCACGACAGCGTAACTCAAGGCCGTCACTCCCGTACGAAATACAGTGTTCCCGTATGACGAACGCCCCCGAGGGCATGACAGTAAAACTCGCTCGTTATATTAGCCATTGCTAGCCGTGCCAGTGACCAATAGACTCGCACCTGCCTGGCGGGAAAGTCTAAACGCACGTGCGCCGAGCGCTGTCATATGATATTATATGCACGTATTCTTAATTCGTCATACCCTGTCACGATATCTAGAAGAATAAAAAGAGACTTTGACGACGAAGGTACGTGAGCATGTTTGTCTTTCTACTTTTGGTTCGCATAATTGTATTATTGCATCAAAATGTGGCGACCTATTGCATCTGTATGAACCTTGCGCCGTCTTTTTCCGGCATGCTGTGAATGTGTGCGTTTCACCGTTGATGCACCGCTGTGCTGTTATGTAAGGTGTTTATTGTGAATGGTAGCTATAGAGATGGGGCTGACGGCCATCCGGTCCGTTGAACTCACCTTGTCTCTCGTTTTTTGGCGGGGAAAAAATATGAATGCCTTTTGTCGCGGATTACGTTCTGGTTCCCCATGTTGATGTTGTTGTTGTTGTTTTTTTTTTTTTTGTTAGGCATTGGTCTCTAAGAGTGATGTGAGATATTACGTATAGCCTTCTGTGGGAGTAGTACTAACTGACAGGGTTTAATCACACGTACGTGCTTCTGTAAATTGTGCATTAATTGTGCACTTCAGCGTGCGTCAGTGATGAATCGAAGTATGTGCAAATAAAGATTTTGTATTAAATAATGTTTTAATGCTATGTAATAACAAGCATATTCTACATGTAGCACGATTTAGCATGTTTCGCAACGTCTCGGTGAAATAGGTCGCATATGCTATGTTACGTATTGCGTTATATTCTTATACGTGTCGGTGTCCCATACACGGGATATAGTAAAGGTAATTCGTCTGCATGTGGCCAACTAGCTGTATCGATATAAAGTTGAGGTCTCAATCACTAGTTAGTTCCCAGAGCACCACGCCACGCCGGTCCAGACTGCCCTCGAGACTTGTCAGCTTCGTTTTAAGCATTTTCAGCGTGTAGTCGGATCCAGTTCCACACACGTGAACGGCGAATCGGTCACCATGGCTACGGCACTCGACGGAATGTTACAATTACACGACAAGACAAATCTTACCTTTCATGCTTTCTAGACTTCCATGGGGCAGCTACCTTGCGTGCATAATGCAAATTAGTGCACTCAAATTATTCAATCTATATGCTTAATAAATTTGTCTAATAATTAATTAACTCACTCTAAAATACCCAAAATCTTTTTTAAAACACGAAGAGTCAAGAGTCAAAAGAGACAAAGAGACAAAATAGTGCAATGGTAAACAATTGGCGGAAGGCTACTGTTGTGTGCGTCCTAGATTCAACTGACACAGTCTTGTCTTACTCATCCTCCACCGCCCGAACCCGGTGTTCCCCTTCCCCCCACGTGAGGAGCGGTACACTATGTTGTTACCTGCTTCAACAGGTGTTCGTTTCGGTGGGCACGAATAATAGCGGTCAATCAATACGCGGTACAGCATTCAGGTAATGCGGGTTAATGCCTCCGTCGTTCTGCGTTGAGTGTATAGACAGACCATCGCATGTGTGGCATTTCGTTAGCGGTGGTGTCGTGGAGGGGTTGTTGACGCGTGGGGGTGTCGGTTGAGCAGTAGAGACGTTGCCGGCGCGTGCTCGCCTGCAAACCGAAATGCTAATCCATGCTAAATCATTGGCTCACAGACACAATCTTCGCACTTTCTTACTCGCTCTCTCTCTCTCTCTCTCTCTCTCTCTCTCTCTCTCTCGCCCTGCCCCATCTCTCTCTCTCTCTCTCTCGCTCTCTCTCGCCGTGCTTCACTTCTCTCTTTCTCGCCATGCCCCCACCTCTCTCTCTTTCTCGCCTTGCCTCTCTCTCTCTCTTTCTCTCTCCGCCTGGCGCCCCCTCACGACAGCTTATAGACATGACTGCATCATAGCCACATTGTAAAACAAAATTAACGAATTCTGCTTCACCATCGTCCTGATCTACCCAGCGTGCCAGATTGAGCGCGGGACTGTGACAAAGAAAGGAGCGAGCACGTGACGCCCTTCTCCTATTTGTGCTTCCGTACTTGGGGTAGGCGTGCATATGTTTGCGTGTTTGTGCTTGTCGTACGTGCTATACTTGTCATTGTCGTACGTGTTTGCGCATGTCGCACGTACTTGTCTTTCGTACTTGTGCTTATCGTGCTTGCGATTGTCGAACGTGTGTTTGCTTTTCGTACGTACTTGTGTTTTTCGTTCTTGCGCTTGTTGTGTTTGTGCTTATTGTATTTGCGCTTGTCGTTCTTGTGCTTGTTGTGATTGTGTTTGCCGTACTTGTGATAGTTGCGTTTGTGTTTGTCGCACGTACGTGTGCTTGTAGTGCTTGTGCTTGTTACGCGCGCTGGTGCTCGGCGTACTTGTGCTTGCCGTGCTTATGCGCGTCTTACTTGTGCTTGCCGTGCTTGTGCTTGTCGTTCTTATACTTGTCGTGTTTGTGCTTGTCGTGCTTGTTCTTGTCGATCTGATAGTTGCAGTGTTTGTGCTTGTTGTAAGTACTTGCGTTTGTCGTGTTTGTGCTTATGCTTGTCGTGCGTGTGGATCATCTCGTCAGCTGCAACACTGACTGCACTGACTGATTGACTGCACTGCATTGACTGCACTACATTGACCGCACTAACTGATTGACTGCACTGCATTGACTGCACTAACTGTTTGACTGCACTGCATTGACTGCACTGCATTGACTGCACTGCCTTGACTACACTGCATTGACTGCACTGACTGATTGACTGCACTGCATTGACTGTACTGCATTGACTGCACTGACTGATTGACTGCACTGCATTGACTGCACTGACTGATTGACTGCACTGCATTGACTGCACTGCATTGACTGCACTGACTGATTGACTGCACTGCATTGACTGCACTGACTGATTGACTGCACTGCATTGACTGCACTGACTGATTGACTGCACTGCGAGTGACTGCACGCTGCATTGATTGCGCACTGACTGATGTGGACTGCACTGCATTGACTGTATCTCTTACCTGTTACGTTATCACACGCATCACTGGGCTGTTATATCGTGTAAGACTGGGCGGAGACTGGATGGATTGCTGTTGATCCTAAACGCTGCGCGCGGATGAGACGCGCAGTTCCGCTGGATATGCGCGACGCGACGCGGGGATGTTCAAGTATGAAGCGCTGTCCACAGTGGAGACGTGCGCCAAATTCGAGGTCCGGCGCACGTCTCCACAGCGGTTAGCGCGGATGGTCTGTAGTTTTAGAAGATGACAGTGATTATATATGGACGATATTCTAGGAATTGGAGATTATAAAACAGTAACAAAAATCGCTCAGTCATGCTCCAGATTAGCTGAATCAAAAAGATTAGAATTTAATCCAAAACAAAGACAATGCGTTATAAAATTAACAAACAAAGAAAGGATAGAGAAGGAGATATTAATAGGCAACCAAGTAATCACAAAATGCACCAAATATTCATACGTAGGAGATTTAATTAATGAATATAGGAGGTTATAACGATATGATAAGAGTTCGAACTGAAAAATGTAGGTTATGATGAGGAAAATATTATCATGGGCAGAGAGCAAAATTATGGAAATCATACTATAGAAGCAAGAGTGAAATTATACAAATGCACAGTTTTACCTTCCTTCCTAAATAACAGTGAAACATGGACTAACTTAACTAAGGAAGAAGTAAAAATGTTGAAGGATTTCCAAAATGAGTGCCTGCGCAAAATAATAATCACGCAGAAAATGCAGAAAAATTTACCGAAAAGCATTGAAAGACAATAAAAACTCCAAGGAAAGATACGGGGAAATCAATAAAAATAACATCTAGTTTCTATACGTAAATCGTGGTAAATACATTAAAAACCCATTATTTTATTGAAAATTCCCATATTTACTTATAAAACATTCAAGAGATGGCGCTGTGGCATGTAAACATTGGCGCCGAACAGAGCAAATTGCATGCAGCGCCCCCTTCCCACACTATATGTCTATATTGCATATTGCAATAATTTGCATATTTTGTCACGTGGTTTATGTTATAACCAATCAGATGTAATCGCGGTGAGAAGCGAAGGGAGAAGCTGGTGGAGAAGGAGGAGGGGGAGAAGGGAGAAGGTTGGTGGAGAAGGGGAGGGGAGAAGCTGTGGAGAAGGAGGAGGGAGAAGCTGGTTGGAGGAGGTGGTGGAGCAAGGAGGAGGTGGTGGAAAAGGTGGCAGGGAGGTGCCTTCTGCCTGGCCCACCTTCTCCTCTCCACGACCTTCAACACCACCTTCTCCACCACCTCCTCCTTCCACCAGCTTCTTTCCCCTTTCTTCCCTTGTCTTCATCTCCACCAGCTTCTTCCCCTCTCCTTCTCACCAGCTTCTCCCCTCCTCCTTCTCCACCACCTTCTCCATTCTCCCCTTCTCCTCCTTCACCATCTTCTTCACAGCTGGAAGTGATATGCAAATTATCTCCTGTACCGGCCTGAATATAGACAAACCAGTAGAATTGAGCCAGAGCCGAGAAGCGCCATCTGGCGTGGAGTTTGCGAACAGAGCATCAACCTCTGTCGTGCTAGTGTGCTATATTTTGATTAAATGTTTAATGAATGGCGCACTCGTTCACTCGACAGCGAGTGAAAATGCCGAAAATTTTCCTCTTCTATGCGAAATGCATCGGCCGCGGCATTTATAAGATTTGCCGTTAGATAATAGAATAAATTCTTGTCGCATATATGTATACGCGTTACTATACAGGACTTGCTTAAGCTTTAGTGCATAACCCGCCACTTGTATCAGATCTCAATATTTTCAGGTAAACAGTTAATAACAAACAGTTTAACAGTTAATTTAAGAGTTATAAACATTTTTTTATTAAATATTGACATTGCTAAAAATTATACGATCTAATTCTTTAATAATCTATATAGTATATCAGCAAGAATAAGACTTTGGGAATAGTAAGAATTCCTACTTTGCATACGATTCCAAACTAATTGCAATGCTAATAGGACGTGTTTAAGTTCGTTGAAAACAAATACAATTTAGTAGAAGGATGGATAAACCACTAAAGATTGATCGCCACTGATCACTACATTGTTTAATTTTTATGTTGTTACGTTGTTACATTTACACACTGTTACGTTGTGTACGCTGTTACGCGTTGGGGTGTTTACGTTGTTACGCTGTTACGGTTGTTACGTTGGTTCCATTTTACGTTTTTACGTTTTACGTTTTTACGTGTTTGCTGTTCGTGTTACGTTGTTACGTTGTTACGTTGTTACGTTGTGTTATGTTGTTACGTTGTTACGTTGTTACGTTGTTACGTTTTTACGTTTTTATGTTGTTTTGCTGTTACGTTGTTACGTTGTTACGTTGTTTCATTGTTATATTGTTACGTTGTTACATTAACACACTGTTACATTGTTTCGCTGTTACGTTGTTACGTTTTTACGTTTTTACGTTGTTACGTTGCTTTAACGTTGTTAGGGTGTTACATCAACACACTGTTTACGGTTTTACGTTGTTACGTTGTTTACGGTTGTTTACGTTTTTACGAGTTGTTACGTTGTTTTGCTGTTATATTGTTACGTTGTTACGTTGTTTACGTTGTTACGTTTTTACGTTGTTACGTTGTACATTAACACACTGTTACATTGTTACGTTGTTACGTTGTTACGTTGTTACGTTGTTACGTTGTTACGTTGTTACGTTGTTACATTCACACACTGTTACATTGTTACGTTGTTACATTGTTACGTTGTTACGTTGTTACACTGTTACGTTGTTACACTGTTACGTTGTTACGCTGTTACGTTGTTACGTTGTTACGTTTTTACGTTGTTTACGTTGTTTTCGCTGTTATGTATTGTTACGCTTGTTACGTTGTTACGTTTATTACGTTTTTACGTTTTTACGTTGTTACGTGTTATTACACACCTTTAGTAGAAGGATGGATAAACCGACTACAAGATGCATCGCCATGACCACTACATTGTTATATTTGTATGTTGTTTACGATTGGTCACATTAACACACTGTTACGTTGTTACGCTTACGTTGTTTACGTTGTTCATATGGTTACGTTTTTAGTTTTTACGTTGTTTCGCGTTACTTGTTAGTGTTACGTTGTTACGTTTGTTACCTTGTTATGTTGTTACGTTGTTACGTTTGTTAGTTGCCTAGTTTTTACGTTTTTATGTTGTTTTGCTGTTACGTTGTTACGTGTGGTATTTACGTTTTACGTTGTTACGCTTGTTTGTTGTTATATTGCCTTACGTTGTTACATTAACACACTGTTACATTGTTTTGCTGTTACGTTGTACGTTTATTACTTGTTACGTTGCTCGTCTGTTCCAATGTTTACGTTTTTACGTTGTTTCGGGCTGTTACGTTGTTTACGGTTGTTACGTTGTTTACGTTGTTTACGTTGTTTATGTTGTTACGTTGTTACGTTGGTATACGTTGTTACGTTTTTTACGTTTTTTATGTTGTTTTGCGCTGTTACGTTGTTACGTTGTTACGTTGTTTCATTGATTATTATTGTTATTTGTTACTTAACACACTGTTACATTGTTTCGCTGTTACGTTGTTACGTTTTTACGTTGTTACGTTGTTACGTTGTCACGTTGTATACGTTGTTACATCAACACAGCTGTTTACGTTTGTTAACGTTGTTACGTGTTCGTGTTACGTTTTTACGTCTGTTACGTTGTTTTGCATTATATTGTTACGTGTGTACGTTGTTACGTTTTTTACGTTGTTACGTTGTACATTAACACACTGCTTGACAGTGTTACGTTGTTTACGTTTTTACGTTGTTACTGTGTGTTACGTTGTTACTTGTTACATTTTTACACCACCACTGTTACATTGTTACCGTTGTTACGTTTTGTTGTTAGTTGTTAGATTGTTACGTTTTTACGCTGTTTACGTGTGTACGTTGTTACCTTGTGTACGGTGTATGTTGCTTACGTTGTTAGCGTTGTTAGCGTTTTTATGTTGTTACGTTGTTTTCGGCTGTATAAGTAGCTTGTTACGGTTGTTACGTTTACGTTTACGGTTGTACGTATTAACACACTTTAGTAGAAGGCATGGGATAAACCACTAATAGTTTGATCGCCACTGACCACTACATTGCTTATATTGTATGTTGTTACGTTTGGTAATTTTAACACACACTGTTACGTTGTTACGCGCTGTTCTACGCTGGTTACGGTTTTACGTTGTTCCATTGTTACGTTTTCGTTTTTACGTTGTTTCGCTGGTTACGTTGTTACGTGTCACGTTGTCTACGGTTTGTTAGCTTGTTACATTGTTAGCGTTGTTAAGTTGCTACGTTTTTAACGTTTTTATGTTTTTGCGCTTAACGTTGTTAGTTGTTACGTTGCTTCTGTTTTACGTTGTTACGCTTGTTTCGTTGTTATATTGTGTTACGTCTGTTACATTAACACACTGTCTAATTGTTTTGCTGTTACGATTGTTACGTTTTACGTGTTACGCTTGCTACGGTTGTTATCGTTAGTTACGGTTGTTATTGTTACATCAAGCACACTCTGTTACGGTTGTTACGTTGTTACGTTGTTGCGGTTTTTAGTTGTTGACGTTGTCTTTGCTGTTATATGTTTACGTTGTTTACGTTGTTACATTTCCACACTGTTACAGTTGTTACGTTTTCGTTGTTTACGATTGTACTTTGTTACATGAGTTGTTACGTTGTTACGTTGTTACACTGTTACGTTGTTACGCTGTTACGTTTGCTTACGTTGTTCCGTGTTCCGCTTGCTTACGGTTGTTCACGTTTTTACGTTTCCTGTACGATTGTATGCTTTTTTACGTTGTTGAGTTTGTGTTTACGTTGTTTTGCTGCATATATATTGTTACGTTGTTACGTTGTTACGTTTTGGACGGTGTTATGTTGCTACATTAAAAACACTGCTTACATTGTATACGTTGTTACGTTGTTACCTGTTACGTTGTTACGTTGTTACGTTCTTACGTTGTTACCGTGGTTACGCTTGTTACGTTGTTACCTTGTACGTGTTTACGTTGGTTACCGTTGTTACGTTGTTTACGTCTGTACGCTTGTTACGTTGCTAACATTCACACACTGTTAACAATTGGTTACGTTGTTACGTTGTTACGTTGTTACTTGGACGTTGCTACGTTGTTACGTTGTTACGCTGTTACATTGTTACGTTGTTACGTTGTTACGTTGTTACGTTGTTACGTTGTTACATTGTTACATTGTTACGTTGTTACGTTGTTCCGTTGTTACGTTGTTACGTTTTTACGTTGTTACGTTGTTACGTTGTTCCGTTGTTCCGTTGTTACGTTGTTACGTTTTTACGTTTTTACGTTGTTATGTTTTTACGTTGTTACGTTGTTTCGTTGTACATTAACACACTGCTACATTGTTTTGCTGTTACGTTGTAGCGTTTTTACGTTGTTACGTTGTTACGTTGTCACGTTGTTACGTTGTTACATTAACACTCTGTTACGTTGTTACGTTGTTACGTTGTTACGTTGTTCCGTTGTTACGTTGTTCCGTTGTTACGTTGTTCCGTTGTTACGTTGTTACGTTGTTACGTTGTTACGTTTTTACGTTGTTACGTTGTTTCGCTGTTATATTGTTACGTTGTTACGTTGTTACGTTGTTACGTTTTTACGTTGTTACGTTGTACATTAACACACTGTTACATTGTTTCGCTGTTACGTTGTTACGTTGTTACGTTGTTACGTTGTTACGTTGTTACGTTGTTACGTTGTTACGTTGTTACGTTGTTACGTTGTTACGTTGTTACGTTGTTACGCTATTACGTTGTGTAAACATTGGTACATTGGAACATTGTTACATTGTTATGTTGTCGTTTGTTACCTTGTTCCGTTAATTACGCAACAACGTAACAAACTATTGACGTTGTTAACGTCGAAGTGACAAACTATTGACAAGTTATTGGCGTTGCTTACCCGTTGAGAAAATTAGTCTGCTTTTACTTTACCGTCTGAGAGAAAATGTTAGTATGCCTAAAATTTTACTTCATTGCCCGGTAGATCTGTTGATAAGGTATCACTCGCGATGGAGAGCAATACAGACCATCTCGACTCCAAGTCATCGTCGGGGGAAGGCGAAGAGAACAAGAGTCGTGATCATTGGACAGGAAAACTAGACTTTCTTCTCAGTTGTGTTGGCTATGCAATCGGTCTGGGTAACGCCTGGCGCTTCCCTTACATCTGCTACACGAACGGAGGGGGTGAGTCATGTATTTTTTCGCTGCAGAATTGTTACTAACTAGATTTGAATTTACGTTACGCACTGTTTGTCATAATTCGCTATTAAGTATGAAACGCAATCTGCTGCATTTACGTGGCGAGCGTACGTTCCTTCCCATCCTTCTACTATGAAGGGAAACGGTGTGGGGAACCATTCCTATAGTTTCGCAAATTAAAAATATGCCCGATTCTTATAAATCTTAAAAATCTAAAATTTTAAACATCGGTTACTTCCCGGTTCCCAGATAATTACGATTTCCCAATCCCGCGTCCCAAAATAACCTGCCCCCTTCTACCACACTCTTAATATCGGTTGACATTTTAATAGGAGCTTTCCTCGTTCCGTATCTGATCGCGCTCTTCGTCTGCGGAATGCCTTTATTCTTCATGGAGGTGGCGATGGGACAGTTCTCGAGCAGGGGAGCGATTGCTGTGTGGAACATCTGCCCGCTATTCAAGGGTAATGGATAGCATTGTTAGAGCGAGTAGTAGCCGTTTGAGAGGTGTGCGTAATACCAGTAATGGATTACATGTACATTTATTAACTTGGTAACATTTTTGGATTCGTCTTATATATAGAGAGATTCCCAATTATATTTATACTATATATACATATTCAATGTACAATTACAATAAACATATTCATGTGTGTACTATCTTTTTCACTCTTGCGCGCGCGCTTTCCCCCTCTCTTACTCGCACTCTCTCTCTCTCTCTCTCTCTTGCACTGACTGATTGACTGCACTGCATTGACTGTATCTCTACCTGTTACGTTATCACACGCATCACTGGGCTGTTATATCGTGTAAGACTGGGCGGAGACTGGATGGATTGCTGTTGATCCTAAACGCTGCGCGCGGATGAGACGCGCAGTTCCGCTGGATATGCGCACGCGACCGCGGGGATGTTCAAGTATGAAGCGCTGTCCACAGTGGAGACGTGCGCCAAATTCGAGGTCCGGCGCACGTCTCCACAGCGGTTAGCGCGGATGGTCTGTAGTTTTAGAAGATGACAGTGATTATATATGGACGATATTCTAGGAATTGGAGATTATAAAACAGTAACAAAAATCGCTCAGTCATGCTCCAGATTAGCTGAATCAAAAAGATTAGAATTTAATCCAAAACAAAGACAATGGTTATAAAATTAACAAACAAAGAAAGGATAGAGAAGGAGATATTAATAGGCAACCAAGTAATCACAAAATGCACCAAATATTCATACGTAGGAGATTTAATTAATGATATAGGAGGTTATAACGATATGATAAGAGTTCGAACTGAAAAATGTAGGTTCATGATGAGGAAAATATTATCATGGGCAGAAGAGCAAAATTATGGAAATCATACTATAGAAGCAAGAGTGAAATTATACGAATGCACAGTTTACATTCCACCCTCTGTCGTGCAGTGTTTTGCTGAATTGTTCAATGAATGACGCACTCGGCCACTTCCGAC